AGTAAACCCCAAAGTGTGTGTGAGAGGTCTGACCTTTCTGTGTCGTCCCGTGATAAACCGAGTCACCGCCTGTACAGTGTAACAGAGACAAACGGTGGGTTGGCAGCAGGACAGCAGAGGAGGAGCGAGATGCACTTCATCATGTGGGTTACCTCTAAACAACTTGTTTTAGAGCACATAAAAGAAACAAATTAATTGGTATTTTCATACCTGTACTGGCTGATTACACATGACTAGTGTGTATTGACACATAGCAGGCACACTCAGACGTATGCACCTTGGCGTCTTTCACACATCAAAGGTAGAAACTCAGACAAAAACTAAAACTCATCTGACCTCATTCTATCACACACATGCACACATATGCACCCTGCTGGGGCAAACGAATATTTCAAATATTTAATTTAGACACAGAGGAAGGGGATGTGGTGGATGTTGAACAAAACAGAGTATATCACTGAAAATCTCTTACACGCTGAGATACGAACACATCTGCCGTCGTTATTACCGAGTTTATGAGCTTTTGCTTGTACTTTAGCGTTCACATACGTCCTCATATAAGCGGAATAACGTAGCTCTGATTCTGTTGTGAGGGATTATGTACGCTAGGTTTGTTTTATGCAATACCATAGGGATGTGGAGAGAGGGGAAAAAAGTGAGGAAGTAAAGAAGCAACGGTAACTCCACTGCATTAAGTCCATTAACGGAACGCTTCTCATTTATAAAAGATAAAGAATTAACAGCTTCCCTTGGCCTTCACACTCTTTTCTGGGCTTAACCTTTCTTCTCAGTTGTTCATCTTGTATCAGTGGATTGGTGCATTTAAAAGTGACAAAAACATACACTGAGAAGAGTGGAGAGATTTTAGAGTCCCGTTACAAAATCAGCTCAGAATGCTGAAACCAAATCTACAGGTATCGTTATTTCATGCTGTGCTGTCACCTGCACAGATGCTCATGCTGCCAAATCTCTATGGTGCCGATAAAGAGTGTATTAGTTTTCCTGATAATAGTCAAACGTATTTCAAAAAGGAGTTTGAGGGCTGAGATTTAAGACCCTCTGTTTCTGCGTCTGTAACGTTGGATTGAAAGACACTCAGCGGGTGACAGTTTGCTGGTGGCGACGCTCTCGGCACTTTTGAGGAAAGAGGCAGAGAGAGAGAGAGAAGAGGTGAATTCTTGCTGTTTGTGTGTTTGCAGCGTGTAACAGCGTGCGTTATTAAGTGTTTGCAGCTCCTCCCCCACCCCGAGGGAAGAAATCATGTGTAGAGTGCAGGAGGAAGCAACACATCGGGAGGTAACAAATAGTTATGGTGCAACAGATTAACGCTGCACAAACACAAGGGTTTGAATAGCGAATGCTTACTCACATGCACACCTTATAGGAGCTATAATCTAATGGAGCAAACCAGATTGTAAATGTGATGCATGTTCAGACAATACTAGGAGCCCTTTAAAATTCAGACTTCAAAGGCTCTTTGAAATTGATTTGACATTGCTTATCTCTTATTCTTTTATGTATCATTTTTGTCACATATGCCAAACAAATGTGATCTTTTTTATCTATAACCTGCCAAGTTGGATTGCTTATAACAAGCCTGACATCATGGTTAACAAAGAATGAGCCGACTTTTGTTTCATAAATGATACAAATGTTGGTTTCTTCATGTTATATTTGTTATTAGATCACTTTTAGCATGCTACTGCGGGCTTCTTGCCGCAGTAAAGTTAGTGATACTTTAGCTCCTCCATTCACAGTTGGCTCAGTATTTCCTTGGCAAAATTTACTTAATGCCGCTGCCTCCTGACTGACTAGACATTTGCCCAGTGAGAGCATGAAGAAGGATGAAGGTTGTGATCAGAGGTTTCTGTTGGCCCACCTACAGCACACACAGATGAGGATTGCTCTACCAAATCAGATCTAACGGCATGAATCTCCTCTGATGGAGCGCCGTGAGATGTGCATATGTGTGGTATTAAAAAAAAAAAAGAAGAAAAAAATCTGGTCTAATGCCACTGGTGCAATGCTGCTTCTTAGATAATACTTCCCTGTTCCATTGAGAGGAGAAGAGAGGCAGAGAGGGAGCCAGAACATTTGGAGGAAAATGCAGTGTTCCTCCTCATTGCCTGTCGGATCCTATTTCCGACTGAAATTATTTATGGACTGGGATAAATAGGTCATTTGATTATGAGCCAGCCTGGCACAAAAAGGAGACAAATATGACAAAAATGCAGTTGATGAACCTCTTTGTAACACTAGGAAGTGGGAAATTGCAGTGTGACACATGGCACATTCAGAAATGATCGTGTACAGCTGTGGGAGAAGGAGGGCTGACTGGTGATCTGTGCTTGCTTTATGGGCCAGAGTCATTATTCCTGTCCAGCACAGAGGAAAACAGGAAGATGAATGATGAGCATTGCTCTTGAAAGAGACAATTCCAAGGCCTTGTCTTTGATTTCAACCTACAGTCACTTGTTGAGCTGGTGTCTTGGGGACGCTCAACAAGTCTTTCACATGATATGTGGTCATTTGATCCTTTGTACTAAAATAAATATAAATTGGAGCACCTTTTAGAAATACGAACACAGTAATTTTACAAGTATTTATAAGGGGGAAATGAAAACTGAGTTGCATAAAGGAGAAGAATCGTGTTACGCTGCTCTGGCTGCTTTGAAACTTGCAGGATGTTACTTTCTGGCCACAATGTCTGTGTTTAAGGATTTAGATAGCTACCAAAGCATTAGTCTCACACCTTGTGAAATACACTTAAAAACTTGTTTCTGCAATTCAGAGGAGAACATTGAGACCAGCTTGTACAGTAAATATAAAGCCACAAACAGCAGATGCTTACCTCAGCCCAAGCTCACTAATTAACACATTATATATAGCTTAAAGCATAAAAGTGGCCTTTTAGTATTTTTCTTCTTATTACATGCCAGCTACATAACTATTTCTTTGCCAAGTAAAGTGACCATAAAAATACAGTTTGTTTTGTTTGCACTTTGCTTTCTGTATGGAATTAACAAAGACGATGAAACTATGAAGGACATCCACTGATGCTCAGACTTCCTGAACAGGGCTACAGCAGCTGCTCTGTCTACCTTTATAGTGACTACAGACGTGAGATCAGTATCCTGATGTAATACTCTGCAAGAAAGCAATAAGCGGATGTCCAAAAATGTCAAACTATTCTTTTAAATCAAAACTTTCTTACTGGAGCACAAAAGCCATGTGCCACTCATAAACATATAACAGCATCTAGTAGTGCAACAAAAAAGCTTATTCATATCCATAAACTAAAGTTTGTGAAGCATTAAATAAAGTTTGTTGGCCTACTAATTACAGGTTCCAGTACATTCAGATGTGACTGGGGCAGCACTCAGGTCATACAGGCTGCACACTGTGCCGTCTTTCCATCACTTCAGAGAACATTTCATTGACTTACATGGATTTCCTGGAGACTGACCTTTAACCTTCACTACTAACTAGCAGATAACCAGGGTAACATGCTCTACAGAGGGAAGAAGCCATCCATCCATTATCTGTACATTGCTCTAACCTCTGTAGGGTCGCTGGGGGCTGGAGCCTGTGGGACATTCTGGACAGCTCACCAGTCTATCGTAGAGCTACACACAATCACATTCACACCTACAACAATTTAGAATCACCAATTAACCTCAGCATGTTTTTGGACTGTGTGGGAGGAAGCCGGTGAAGACGGGGAGAACCCACGCTGCACGGGGAGAACATGCAAACTCCACACAGAAAGATCATAGGCCAAGATTTGAACCCAGGACCTTCTGTGTTGCAACAGTGCTAACCACTTCTCCACCGTGCTGCCCAGATACAAAGCTAACCTCCCTTAACTCCCCTCCTGACCTCTAGATTTAGTCCATTTTCATTACAGGTCTTTTCTTAGATGATCGTGTCCTTGCTGATCTTTAAAAAGCGTTGAAATCCTGGTGGGAGGAAATCAAAAGAAGTGGTTTTCAGATCAATGCAATATTGTGAAAGAACAAAATATGCCTCAATGTTTTTTTTATCAGATCATAAAATTTTTAATATGTTTTAATGTTGGCATGAGAGAAATATAAAAAGTTATCTATTGGTTTGAAAAAACGAAAAAAGCAAAACAAAAAGTCAGAACCTTTCATTAATCCCCTTTCATTCTAAGTTAACTGGCAATAATCCAACTGCTTAAAAACTGTCAAATGATTTCTGTATGTGTTATTTACCATTTATGGTGCAGTAAAAGTAACATCAAAATTTGAAAATAAAGATAATGGCATTCCTAAGTAACCAATTTGAATCGATCGAAATGAGAAAGGATTATCTCTGGGGTGCTTCTCCCCCCTTTTCAGGATTTTACATTTTGTTTTTTGATGACAAACGTGTAGTAGCATTCTACCTCTTGTGTACATATAATACTGATATTCACTATTTACATATTTCAAAATAAACCAGACAAATACAAATTCATCTCACACACAAAACAACTGACTATTAAATCAGTTGCATTTAAAGAAACTAATCTAAAAACATCTTAGGTGGAACAACTTCTGCAAAAACATGAATGATTTTTAAGATGAAAGAATCAAACCAGATGTAATCTTGTCTTTAAGCGATATCATGTAATTAGAATGAAATGAAAAACACTGTATAACCTGCTTTGCTATGACACTCGAGCGTATTGCCCATTCAATTATAAAAGCTATTAGAGGAACTTTACTGTGGCTCTTATCGTCGCCTGGTTACCTGTGAAGTTGTGCAGCCATATTTCTGCTGAACTCCAGCCGGGAGGCGCGTCCCCGAGCAGCGCTGCGCTCTGGAGCAGCGTGAACGCGCCTAGGTCTGAACTCCACACTCACTTGTCTGTCAGCCCTTTTTTCATCTCACAGTCGCTCTTCGTGTCTCTCCAGCCTCATGTTCATTCCACCGCCCAGCCGGAGCAGAGCCCCCGTGTAGCCGACACTGAAACCCGGTGCCGGGCAGCGGCCAGGATGCGGTGCCACAAGTTTTGGGGACCGTGTTCGGTTGGATTTTATATTTGGACGGCCATCCTTTTCAGAGGTAGGTTTGTTCAAGTTTTGTCCTGCAGTTTCTTCAGTGAATCTAGGTAAATGAAAGGTTAAAAAAAAGAGATTGTTTTAATGATTTAAACGTGGGTTTAGATGTGTTGTTCCTAAATTAGCTTTGGTGTGTTCTTTGAATTAAACATTTGTCTGACATTAGGGAACTTCTTTGATTAAAGAAACTATTATATTGATAAATTATATATTGTATTATAAAGCTTCAGACCCAAATCCAATTGGAAGGAATTTATGCTGCTTTATTTTATTAACATCAGGGTGAACAAAACTTCTTTTATTTTTCATTTTGTGAGATTGAACTTTTTGATTTTTTCAGTTTTAAGTAATGAAGCTCAAAAAAGGGGGCTTTAATCTGCTGAATCGTTTAGAGTCTCATGTGGTTAGTTAAAAACACTTATTCAGCTTGCATGTGTGTGGCATTTCACAGCAGTCTGGTCCTGCAAATTTGTGTATGTATCTCTGTAAAAGGGTAATTTACCACTCAAAGAGTTATTTTTAAACACAGTTCACATGTCTGCATGCATTTATGTGTGTGCCTGATATGCACATTAATGTTTGCTTATTCGAGTGCAATGAGACGTGCATGCATGACTCTATAATTCTCTCCTAAGCTCCATCCCATCATCATCATCAGCCGCAGCAGCATCATCTGCAACATCTGGGTTGTTTACTTACCAGTTTCTATCACAGCAGCTTTGCTGAAGCTTTGCATTCAAACCCTTTACTTGTATGCACGTCCATCACGTCCAGAGTCAAACCACCTTCCACTGGCTCCACCTCAACGTCCTAATCCAGTCTGTGAACTTCTTCTGGTGTGGAAGATAGGTGGAGGGAGGGATGAGTGTTTGTGATTGAAACAAAGCCTAAATCAAGTAAAAAAGAGGATGGATTACATGCTTAACCATGACAGGAGGCCTCAGCTGTGGGACAGTGTTCAGTGTGTATCCTGTCTGCTATCAAAGGCATTGCAAAAGACACATAAAATGCTACACAAGTCATATGATGTTGGTTTTTCTTCTTTTTTGTGTTGGGATAGATAGATAGATAGATAGATAGATAGATAGATAGATAGATAGATATATCTTTCTATTTATCCATCTAGAAATAACTGCCACAGTTCTATCTAGTACCACAGTCTATTTATCAAGTAGCATCTTTGTGGATCTCTTTATGATTTAGTGTCACCATGTGTCACATTTGACTGTTTGGAAGCAGAATAGAAGCTCATGAGGCTTTGGTCATGGGGATTAAAGAAGCAGCTAGCCGCTTGTAAGCCCAGTGTGTGCACATTCACTGTGCCATTGATAAGCAGCTTTGGTCTGTCAAGGGAAACACAAGACAATAGCCTAAACAAGAGATATAGGCCATGTTATTTTCTTTGAAACTGAAGCATGATTTTGTAACGACTTGTGCTCCACACAGCCAGACACAAGTGGCAGACAAATCACAGGGTGACTTTGATCTGTTGAAATCCTCAACATCTGTACTTGCAAGTGGGACTGAATTTGCACCTGAGTGACTTAAAGTTTCTCTGCTGGCATTGATTCAGTCCTAGTAAAAATTCATCTCTGTTCATCAAAGTCACAAATTTACAAGTTTTTTTTAACCCATGAAAATATTCCCTTCGTGCTTTGAATGGTTTACGTGCGACTTCACATCTTTGTGTCCTTTAGTATGTGCAGATCTATAAATATGCAGATGAGTCCCCATTTTTTCCCCTCCACCCATCCCTTCACCACTCTTCTGCAGTTTGAGCACACCTGCTACTCTGCTCTGTGCTACAAACTTGCAAGTTGTAATGTTGGAGTAACTCAACTACACATGTTCAAACTGGAAAGTGATTCTAAAGAAGAACAATGATACAGAAAGTCCACTCCACAAGATGACAGGATTGGTTGATTAGGTTTGTTCTTTATGAAACCCTTTAAGTCTGAATCCATGTTTTTTAAGGCTGTCACTGGTACACTGTAGTTTCCAGTTAAAGTGCTTAAACATGACGTTGACTACTGAATTGGCATATACAAAACATGATTTCGATATTTTACTAAGCGTAAAAACCGATCAGCACCATTTTCAGGTGTACTCATTAAAAATACAATCACATATTCCTCAGATTTCTTTTCATGACCCTCACTCAGAGAATCAAAGACTGGTGAGAGTGAAGTTGTCTGGTGCAGATGTTGCAATAATATCTGCCTGATTTCAGTACAGCGCCTCGTGTGTCTTCTTCTGTCTTCATGTATAAGCCTCTTTCATTGTAACACAGTCCTCCACAGTTTGCTGTCCTCTTCTTTATTCCATGGTCAGCAAAACTTACCATTCTCCTCTCTATGCTCTTTAATCATGGAATTTATGTCAAATGACTTTGTATACACTTATCAAGCATTTCAGTCATTGTGTTACAGTGATGTAAGGTCGCTGATGGTGCTGAAGTGGTTAACAGGTTGTGTTGCCTTTCATTTAAGTCAGAGGTTTAAAAACATAAAACAGTATATGGACGCCTGAAACTAATATGCAGTTTTAAAACTCGGACATTGTGATAAGGCTGTGAGGAGGCTGTTTTAGCTCTAGGCCTGTAAAGTCCAGTAGGTTGGACTCAACATGTTTGAGATGTGGTAGCCGTGCAATCAGTGTTGCGGGTCTTAGCCCCTGGATTAGGATTAAAATTCCAGTGGTTTTAGGACTCTCAGTGCTCGTCTATAGATTATAAATCTCTCCTATATGATTCCATCTACGCAAAACTCCATTAACACGCAGCGCCATAGACTCTGATCCCTGCTCACCACCGGAGCCGGTCACATGATGCTGGAAATGATGTGTTAATGGACGAGTCAACGGCTGGTCATTTGACATAAACGTCCCACACATGAAATGTTAATGAGCATATGTGCGTGCAATTTGGAAGCACAGCTGCTTTCAGAGAAACCCACAGAGGTGAAAAGAAAAGTGACAAACTGCAGCTACAGGAAGTATGGACTGATGAAATCTCTTATATGAATGGATATTTTCTGTATTTGTCCCCATAGTCTCTTTTACTGTCCCTGTTTGACTCTCCCCTCTGTCTTCACTTTTACCCTCATTATTACTGATTTTATACCGCACTTCTCGTCAAAGTCACCCCACCTCCCTCAGTTTTAGTGCCCGCAGTTTTCAGGGACCATGATTCTTTTACAACTTTTTTATTGCCAGCTGGAAGATATAGTAACATGAATGCAGACAGTGAAAGCTGTGACACTATAAATAAGCATTTTATGATAAAGGGCAGGAAAAAAAACAAATATTCAAGAACATATTCTAACATAACAGTTAACTTGTTTTAAAGTGGCTGACTCAAAGTGCAGAAATCAAAGCAAACAAACTAAAAACTGACAGCTTAAAAGTCAAGTCACAGCACTGGGATCACTTGCCAAGTGCAACTATATACAATCTCAAGAGAAACATCTGCCTGCAGTTTTGCTTTGGTGTTGAAAATAGACATGATCAGAAACCTGTACAACATTACTGGATGTAGAATATTCCAAGCTTTTAACGGATCTTTGATGCCCTGGATTCCTTCACTTTACCTCCATGTAGTTCCAATTCTTTTTTTTCCCCCCTTCCCTGCTTCACTTGAGTTTTCCAGCTTCCCTCTTTTTTTTTTGGTGTGTGTGTGTGTGTGTGTGTGTGTGTGTGTGTGTGTGTGTGTGTGTGTACCTCCTACTCAACTCAACTGACTTCTCTTGTCTCCCCTCTGTCTCTCCATCTGTATTTTGAAACAGATTAGGTAACAGGCCGGCCGCCTGGGTTAAGATGTTGGTTTAAAGCTGCTGAACATCTGGATCCTTCACTGCTGGCTTCCCCTGACTGACTCATTGCACTGCCAAAAGATTGATAGCGAAATAATGAGGTGCTAGACCATTGCCAGTGTTGATGTGACCTTAATTTAAATCAATGCACACTTGGTTAGTGTCAGAGGCAGAGCTGTGTGTCGGCTATGGAGGCAACTATAACAGGAGCAAGAGTAAAGAGGATACTTACTTAAGAGTGAGTATCCTCTTTAGTGTCCCATCTTTTGGAGGACACTTGCTTCCTAAGAGCATAAATACAAGACAAGACATTTTCATGCCAACTGCTATAGGCAGACTCTGTTTGCTGCAGACGTTATGGTGTCTGGGTTCCAATATTTCCTCACATCAGGGTTTTTCAAGGTTGGCCATAATCTAAAGGAGAGATAGATGGCCTCTGTTAAGGTGGGCGGACATTTGCGAGCTTGAAGAAGTGTCAGAATACACGTTTCCAGGGGACTCGTTGGCAGGGTAATGTGAGGTTATCCACTCTTGTAGAGACACTGTCACAGCACTAGCATTTGCCATCAAGCACGTTAGAGGCTTGAGACACGTTGCAGATTGTGACTTTCTGACTTTATATATGATGCATCTGAGTGTTTCTAAACCACTGTTTTTATTGAAGTAAAGATTCCAGTGAAATGAGAACTGCTCTTTCTTTTTTTGATAAAATGTGCAAGTTTTCATGTCAATCATAATTGCAAACAATCATAAAGACTTAACCGGAGTTCTTCAGTCTTTAATACTGTGTGCATTATACCTGCCTCAAGGTTTAAATTATGATGTGTGAGTATAAATGTGTGAGTTTGCTATATTTTTCCCTCACAACACCATTTGATGTATGCATGCATGTTTTTTATTTTTCTCCATCTGTTTCCACCATACGGACTCACACATACACTAACGCGAGATATTTGGATCAAAAAGGTTCTAGATATGTAATGGTTGACATGGTGTTGACTCTCTAGACCCTCAGGGAGCAGCGGTCTGTCAGAGGTTTCTTTGTGTTGTCTCCTCCCAGGTTCGTAACGCTAGTCTCCCTTTCCCAGAGCATTTTCAGATCAGAGGACTTTTATGTTCCAAACCAGTAGATTCTGCGTCTTATGACAATTTTAACAAGCATGTTATATGTTGTAAGGTTACTTGAACTACTAAG